AGTCGGATTGTTTCTTGTTTCCTAGCAACACTTCGTCACATGACTTCTAAACTTTCTTTAGCTCCAGTTGTGTGAGTCATTCTAGAACAAAACATCTCTGTGGTTCTTTTCGTGGCTGGGGGTGAATTATCAATTGAAAAGAGCAACTACTACTGTTAGCACTGCAATTTTACGATAGAAAACGCAAACACTGAAAGTTAATGGCGGGAAGTCGAGCTGCTTCGGCCGGCAGATTTCCCGATTCGACATGGCGGCCGGGAACTCCGAGCCTTTATCACGACAAATGTGCTCCTCAGAAAGAAAGAGTCAAATCTGCTCCTCCACGAACTTACTCTCAACGAGAATACGCTAAGTGTGATGTTGTTCGAAATGACGAGATCTGGAAAAATCGATGCAAGAATGAAGGCAAAATGACGAGAAAATGGTAAGAGCAAACATATCATTCATCAAACGTTCTCTCTTGTTTTGAAACAGTTTCCGGGTTGAATCGGAGCTAATATGCTGGCCTCGTTGTTGAAATTTACGTGGAATCTTTTGTTTTTTTTTTTTGCAATGTGGTGATTTGTACTTGATCTACGGTTCACGAGGCTCGTGTTAAGATCATACATGTTCATTTTTTATTTTTTATTTTTTATTTTTTAGTTAATTTTTTTTAAATTTTTTTTTCGATCAGTATCGTTGAACTGATATGATATAAGCTGAGTCATGACATTAACACTCGTTGATATTGGTTGTTAGTGATCACAAGTATATTAGGGTTTTGTGACCGCAGCACTCCGTATTCAATTTGGACCTAGTGTTTGGCAAACGAATGCGTCCTACGTTGCAGTTAGGTCATTTAATTTCACAGTAACCCTTTTATGCTTTTCATTCCACTAGGAAAAACAAAATATGCATTTTTAGAAAATATTCTTAACCAACTCACGTAAGGTCACAGAAATGCTTACGTGATGGGGGCCTAAGTGGCATGGAGGGGGATATATAGGGGGGAATATAGGGGGGATATATAAAGGTCATAAGGAGATAGGGATAGAAAGTCAAGTCTCATTAATAGGAGGGGAGGGATGATTTTATGCTTCTAGAGTGAAGTTCTCTCCAGAGCTTTCTGCAGTACTGGAAATAGCAGAAATTATTGTCATACCAAATTTGAACATTTCAAGTAATTTTACAAATGTGATTGTTCATAATGTCTGAAGAGCAAAATGACAAAGCTTGTCTACACAGACCATGTTTACTTTGAAACAAGTTGAAAATCCTATATCAAACTGATCTTCATTTTGTTCCATTTGATTTGACCCTGCCTCCAGACCCTCTTATAACTGTGATGATTCACTTTATGAATGAGCGCCCCCATTCAAATGTGTTTTTATCAATAAGCGCCTCTATTCCAATAAATGCCCCCATTCCAATAAGTACCTTCATTTTAATAAGCCCCCCTGTTCTAATAGAATATTACGGTGCTGTCAGAATACGTGTTAATGGAGGTTCATCTTCCTCGATTGCTCACATATAAGTAATGTTTTATCAGAAAGCAGAGGTCTTCGTCGGAGTTTCTCAACTATTATGTCCATACGAGTGCATAATTCCTTCAAATGATAACTGTACATTTACCGTATATTTGTTACAGATTCTGTTAATGTTCCTTATTTTAATAAATACTGTATTAAAGTTCTATTTTGAACACTTGGTTGGTTCTCAAAAAAGAAACTGTCCTGAATATAAATGCCCTGTTGAGTGAATAAGCACCCTCCCTCAAGGTACCAAAAAAATAAGCACCCTGAGTGCCAAATCGAATCATTAAATGTGAAACAAACACGATCAGAAGCATTAGGTCATCAGTTTATTTGTGTATGCAAATTTCATAAAAATGTTTAGTAATGTCTGACCCAATTTGTAATAAGTTCAGTCAAAATAGAGACTTGAAATGACACATGTACATGTCATGTGTTGAGCCAGAAAAATTATGTCCTTAGTGCTGTTTCTGGTATCTAAATGTATTTCACCCAATTTGACCAGGTGATGAATATTTAATGCCCTAAATGTAGTATCATAAAGTTCTATTGGGTGTAGCCTGATAATATTTTTTTTGATAATACATTTTGTTATTATTTTTTAGGGAAGAAAACTGGGGTTTTCTCAAAGACTATGACCCAAAGGTAAGAAAATATTAAAAGTCATATTCCTTAAGAGCAATGGCCTTCATTTTCTCGACAAATTTAAAATTGATGAATACTTTATTATTAATGAGTTTGAGGATATTTTTTAATTTTACCCACCTGCCTCCTGAAGGCTTTCCCAAGCCAATCTGCCATTGTTCACTTTGACAAGTTCAAAACGTTGCATTTGTGTGTTGCGATTGGTAGATTTTGATCCATTCTGTTTCCTTTTTTTCATGATTATTTTGAATAAATATCATAAATGATTGACAGTGCTCAGCAAAAAATGCTATCGTTAGTTGAAAAGTGGCTGTCCAAAATGTGCAGTATATGGCCTGCTGAAA